TAATGCAATAAATGTTGTTGACTTTTCTTTATATTAAATCTGGTAAATGGTATACCTTTTAATATAAGTATAGATATATTTTAATTAACTGTCACGTGGTGAGTATAATAATAATAATATATAATTTATTTAATCAACTGATTACGTGCATACTATAATAATAATAGTAATAAACAATGGATAGCACACGTTTTGAAAAGTTAAAGGCAATCAATCAATTCACATGAATTATAGGTGAGATTAATGAAAGGTGAGATAATATCCGTTCATTTATATAATCTAGTGTGAAAATGACATAAAAAAAAGTGTGAAAAGGACATAAAAGTTACTAATTTTAGTAAACATTTAATGCAGACAGGATGTTGACTAAGAATTGACCTACTAATTTTGAAAAAGGTTAATTCTTATTATATAACTATAGATTTGGTATCCAATGTTTTTGGGAAAAAAATTGTATGATAACAACAAATTTATCCCATCTTTTTTAAATCAAATTTTTGGATCTATTTATGAAATACATTGAGTCATTGAGAAACTATGTTGACCGAGATTCTGGTGAACATACAATAGCTTATTTGCCGATATTTTGTATTGTGATTTTTAGCCACGCGAAATAGTGATACACTTTCGATAAAACCCTTTCAAGCAAATCTTGATATATCTATACTTATATAAACAGAATTACTATTTACTAAATATAGCAAGCAAAACAAATTTCAAAATTTCTAAATAAAAAAGAGATAGAAATTTAAATAAAATATGGTTGCTTTAACGAACTTATAGGGAAAACAGAAAAAAAAAATAAAAAAATCTTTAATTCAAATTCAATTGTTAACAATTTCCTAATAATTTTCATGCAAATCTTTAATTCAAATTTAAATGTTAACAATTTTCTAATAACTTTCCTACAAAATTGCCCGCATAAATAATGATAGATATGAAATTTAACAGTATTCAAAAGTTAAGGAGTAATTCAAATTGTGGAGAATTTAAAATGGTACGAGTTTGCATCATTCATTTTAGTAAAAAAAAAAAAAACAAAATCATATTTATACAATTTAAAAAAGAGTGTGCTACAACATTGGATAATCCATACATCATAGGTACTCACTTAATAAATCTTCACCACATCATTTGTTGGAATCAAAAACTTAATAACAGACAAAAAAATGGGACTATGTTTACTTGAAAGAATATCAACACGTGTACATATTTTTAAATTCATTTTCAAATTGAAACTTTAAATTCGTACTCAAATTGAATTGAATAATATAATTTAATTAGAACTGTAGGAGTTTCTTAGAAAAAAAAAACTATCAAGCAATTTGCATTGATTTTAAAAAACTGATAAATACTGATTTCTAAAATTATGGTGATTGTTTACCTGATATAGATTATGACCACGTGTACAGATTTTAAAACCATCATAAAATTCAAATTGGAATAATATGATTACATTAGAACTGTAAAGTTTGTTAAGAACAAAAACTCTCTATGAGTTTGCATTGATTTTAAAAACAAATAAATACGGATTTCTTTTATAAAGAAATTATTTATTCGTATTTCATCACAAATCCCAAAAATGTGTACTTTGTTGATATGTGTTTGAATAAAAATCTTAATAACAATGAGGTTTTAAAATAATTACATAAAATTGATAAATGAAGTGTATGCAACATGGAATTGTTAAGCATCAGTTTATTTTATACTTTTGAATAAAATTTTTAATAATGAGATTTTAAATTTATTCTATAAAATTGATAAATGAAGCATATGCATAAAGCATGGAGTTATTAAGCCTCCGTTTATTTTATACTCAAATTGATGACAAAATAATTTTCGGTATCATCTCAATATTTATTTTATATATAATATGTAAATCTTCTCTCAATTTTAATATTTTAGACATAAACTTTTTAATATTCTTTATACAAGATATATAATTTTATATTGTTACAATAGACTATATACCGTAAATTTTATCACATGTAATCCCACATATTTAATATATAATTATAGTTAATATTGTTTATCCTCATCTTTAATGTATAATTATTATTAGTATTATTTACCCATTCATAGCACGGGCTACACACTAGTTTGTAATATTTATACAACATCAAATTTTGAATGAGATGAGAGTGCTACTAGTAAAAAAAATTACCATATACCAATTGTAAAATATTCCATTGAATATTGTAAAGAATACTACAATGGTATAGCGTCCGTTGAAAAATTTCAATGGATATTTCAACGTAGATCAATACCAACATATTTTAATGGAATTGTATTTTCCTTGGAATTGTTGTTGGAATTTGATGATTCTTATAACTATTTTTTTAACGGTTTTATTATTTTAGTATTTTTTGTTGTGATATGCAATTTCCAATAGATTTTTGTTTCACCCATATTTCAACTATTGAAAAATACATAGTTAGAATTGTCAAAGCCCAACTGAAATTCTAATGAAAAACTCATTCCAACTATCACTATTTTCATTGGAATCCATTGAAAAGTTTCAACGAAAATTACATCATTTGAATATTTATTAGAATCGTCAATGAAATTTTCTTCTGTCGAAATTTCATAATCTTCTTTTAGTGAGCCTAATGGTTAGGCGGATCAATCTGCCATACTATGTAAAACAAAAATACATATGCTATTCAATGTCTCCTATTTATGATGTTTTTTATTGTATGACGTTGTTGAAAGTATGCATATTTGTTTAAACAAAATATATTGGTCCAATTATTAGGCTGGACTAACACGAGACCTATGTTTATACAAAGATGGTAAATAAGGTGTTCTTGGGGAAAAAAATATATTCATACAAAAAAAAATAGTGAAAAAAAAATGAGAAACATGATTTGGTGTGAGAATTAATGGTTTTTATAGTGTGAAATAATGTGATATCAATAGTAATAATTATTGTGATGTAACATTAAAATACTAAAATAATAACATATAGTTATATACATTCATGGTAAAATTCTTATAAAAGTACAAAAAAATGAAGTAATTTTTAATTTAAAACCGAGTTTTAACTAGCCCGAAAGGTCGACACAGGACCAGAGTTGGGACCGATTTAGGTGGGTGCTTCAGACCTGGTTGAAACCCCGTCAACCCGGCCTTGGACCAGCTAACTCGGACATTGACCCAACCCAGTTTGACTCGGTTCTTATATATATATATATATATATATATTGTCTTTAAATATATTTTTTATTTTAGAAATAAAGGCTATGTATAAATATTTATTATAAGATACAATATTATTAATACTTTGATGTATAACTTTTATAAATACGAAATGTTTATTTTTATTGCTTTTGTGTATATTTATATGATGAATAATATATATATAATTTTTATATTTAAAAATAATTATCCAGTTCGACAATTGATCCGATGACCCGATTGATATTAGGTGAAAAAATGATTTTTCTTCAATATCCAAACGGGAACCCTTTAGCTGACCTAATTCTCATTCATGGAGTTTCTCAAACATAAGATAGCTAACCTAATTCTCATTTATGTAATCTCTCAAACAGTCAAACCTAACTACTCAACCATACCAAATTTTATGTTTTAATTAACACAATAAGTTTAGGCATTATTGAGGTATTATACTATTATGTATTGCTTAAACAATAATTAAAATGAGTAATTTGTAAACTATCTATACGGTGAAGCTTATTTCGGGAATGCTCCATTCAAAATAATATTTTGTTATAAGAACTTAACATAAGCATTGTGTATTATCCATGCAATTTCTTTAGTCTCTAATCGAATTAGTTTCATTCTGATTTGATTACCAATAAAGAGTACAAGTACAACAAATGAATTTTTGGGGAAGAGGGTTTTGTTTATTAAATTCATTTTAGGTCCATTTCTATAACCCGATAATTATATTAGAACATAATCAGATCATTCAAGACCTTTGCTCGAACTAATCCTTTACACGACCATTCTCGATCTCTTCACTTATTCGAATAAAGTTTCCTTTCAGTTAATCTTCGAAACCCTTTATCCCACGAGCTTATTTAGCTAACTACATCACCTAAAAATAAAAATAAAAAGTTATTTGCATCCAACTTGCAATTGTTTAGGGCTCGCTTGTTTTGTAAATAATTTGTTCAAAATGAGTTATTTTGGTTAACAATAGTTAATTTTGAAAAATGTGGTATGGTTAGTTGTTAGTGAGGTTTAAGAATGTATTAAAATAATATTTAAAATAAAATAATTAAAATTGATTTGATGTAAAAATAGGAGATAAATGATTGAACATGATTAGAAATAATAGGTAGTTAAAATTATATAAGTGGATGAATATTGAATTAAAATTGATGTGATGTGTAAGAATAGTTGGTTTGTATTATTTAATTATATGAATAATATTAAAGATAGTAAAATTGAGTTAAAATTAAATTATATTTTGAATATAAAATAAATGCGAGTAAATTGTTTCATAAACAAGCAAGCCCACTATTTTTTTTTTCGATAAAATATAAATTTAATGGACCTAATTTGACAAAATTTTTCATAACTAAAAGTGTAAAACTGCCACTTTACCTTCCTCACAGGCTATTGAGGAAATCATGGGCCCACACTCCACAGTCTCTCTATGTAAATTCCGATGAGAATAAAGTAACAAAGTTTCATTTCACTACTTGAAATTTGAAAAAAAAGCTCTCTCAACCACGCAATGCCGCCGGAGATCCCGCCGGTGCAACCACCATACAGCCAGAGTTAAGCCCCAAACACTCGCACCTTTTCAGCTACTAACAATGTCCGGTTTCAACTCCGCCAAGCAGGCCAAGGCGCGGGATCTGAAGCACCGCGTCCTCACCTGCCTCCACAAGCTCTCCGACCGGGACACCCACTCTGCCGCCGCATCGGAGCTCGAATCGATCGCCCGTACCCTCCCCTCCGACGCCCTCCCCCCGTTCATCTCATCCATCTCCGCCACCGACTCCTCCGACAGATCGCCCGTCCGCCGCCACTGCGTCAGGCTCATCTCCGTTCTCTCCGAGCACCACCAGAACTCCCTCTCTCCCTACCTCTCGAAGCTCCTCTCCGCCATCGTCCGCCGCCTACGTGACCCAGACTCCGCCGTCCGCTCCGCCTGCGTCGCCGCCTCTCTCTCCCTCTCCTCGAACCTCACGTCCCCACCCTTCGCCTCCGTCTCCAAACCCTTCCTCGAATCTCTATTCACCGAGCAGGACCAGAGCGCCCAAACCGGCGCCGCCCTGTGCCTGGCGGCGGTAATCGAGGGTTCCCGAGATCCGGACGCGGCCGGCCTGAGGAGATTGCTGCCGAGGCTCGAGAAATTGGCCAAATGCGAGAGTTTCAGGGCGAAGGCCGCTCTAATGGCGCTGATCGGGAGTGTGGTCGAGGTGAGAGGAGTGTTGGGTGGCGGTGGGAAAAATGTGGTCAGAAATCTGATCGCGTGCCTGATGGATTTTCTGAGCAGCGAGGATTGGGCGGCGAGGAAGGCGGCAGCCGAGGCGCTAATGAAGATTGCAGCCGTGGAACGAGACAGCCTGTCGGAGTATAAACTCACTTGCTTGAAGACTTTCGAAGCAAAGAAATTCGACAAGGTTTTTTTTTTTTCGTCCTTTTTTTTTTTCTGGTAATGCTCGTAAGCTTGACGCGCGCTGCGTTATATGTGATCAGGTGAAAGCAGCAAGAGAGACAATGAACCAGATGATAGAGACTTGGAAGCAAATTCCAGATCTGCTTGAGGAGATTTCAGTGCCACCTGAATCAGAAGCTTCATCTATAGGTATGATGTAAATTTTTGTTTTTGGTGTGTGTGTGGTTACGGTTCTTGGCTACTTCTTTCAGATTTCAGTGTATGGATCATGATCTGAATGTTTGCTTGTATATCTTTTTCTAGGAATATAGATTAAGATCTGATCATGGTTTCTGTATGATTTGTACAGTTGATTGAGCTTCCAATATCAAGTTTTCTGTATGTTAGATTGTTATGGTTTATGCTACTATTTTCGATCATTCTAATGATAGTTGATATCATCAGTCTACTTTCACATAGATTTGTTCGGTTTAGATTGTATTTAGTTGATTGATTTGAGGTTAAGGATTCTGGATTCATATTAACAAATGATTCGCGTTTCAGGTTAGTTTGTAATATGATGGACTTGAAATCATATTATTGTGAACTTCAAATCTATTCTATACCAAGTCACCTTAAATCTTTGTGCTCAAACTCATATCTGACACTAAATGCAGCAAAGAATTATAACTAGGTGAACCATAACTCTTTTATTTCTTGTTATTTCTAATCCTGGTACAGAAAATGCTAGTGATGGACGTTACCCTCCGCGCTCGACAATATCCTGCTCTATTGGGTCCACCACACCTCGTGTATGGAAAAAGGCCGTCTCAGAGAACTCATATAAAAAGACACCAGTTTCTTATGGTTCAGCTGCTTCCACGGCCAGAAAAAGAACCCCTCTTGGAAATAACCAAAACAAAACTGGGCCAGCAATGTTCCGGAAGTTGGACCGAAACTCGAAAGTTGAAAGTATCCTTCAAAGTGCTTCTTCGGGCAAGAAGATTTCAGATAATGGCCGTCCGAATGGTCAGGTAGAGAGAAAAGAAGTTGAAAAGACAGATACAAAACGAGCTATTCTCAGTGAAAACGACCAAAAGAAGAGGCTTGGTCTGTTTAAAGCTGGCACTCGAGTTGCTCCATGTTGTGATGACAGTGTTGTCGTTGGTAATGAGACTGGAATTGGTCTCAGGAATCACCAAGAATGTGACGAGCTTACTATGATCCGTAAGCAGCTTCTTCGAATTGAAAGTAAGCAGTCCAATTTGATGGACCTTCTCCAGGTATTTGGCTTTCTTCTTCATCTTGGCAAGTATACTTTGATACGCTGTGTATGAATTGATAAAAGTATTCTCAATTGGTTATCAATTGTCTTTAACCATGCATTGTGACCGGTGGTATAGTAAGATAATTTCTATGTAGATTGAAGTAAGATGACTCTAATGTTGAGTAACATTTTTTTTATTTCTGTTTCAGACTCGTCTTTAGATTCTATACTTCATCTTTTTGTCTAACCTTCTGTGTTTTACGACGCTGCTGGCCACACTTGCTTGATTGCTTCTGTACTTTAATACACATATCCAAGTTAAACAGTGGCATTCTTCATGAGATGTTTTTTCGTAACTTCTATTGTAACGTTTGTAACTTTTGGTAGCTACAAAAGCTACCCAAAGGATTGGCTTAGTTTCCGCAAGTCCTATTTACCTTAAAAAATTATTGAAAGATAACCCGAGTTCTTTGTGATTAGCTCAAGTCTCAGTGACTCTCTCTAATTTGTGCCTCTTTAAAAAACTACACTTTTCTGATTCATCTGTTATCGAAATTGGCATAAAGGGATTTATCGGGAGCTCAAGAAATGGTATGCATTCCCTCGAGGCACGTGTCCATGGGCTCGAGCTTGCTCTGGATGAAATATCATTTGATTTAGCCGTCTCGACCGGTAGGATGTCCCGAATTAGCCCTGCCAGGGGATCCATGTGCTTCAAGCTACCAGGTACTGAGTACTTGAGCTCAAAGTTGTGGAAAAAAGCAGCTCCTACCACTTTCGGTGGGACACACAGGGGTAGAAGCAGTGAAGGATTTGCAGTGGAAAATAGGGGGGTTATTGTGAACCCGTTGGCCAAACTGCCCAGTGGCTCCGTTGGATTTTCAGAAGTTTCCTTGAGTGGGGGTGTGAATAAAATTGCTGTTTGATAACGTGTGAAGTGCGCATGCCTTTGCCCGAGTAAGTTTTCAGGTTCAGCATTCTTAGTTTCAACTCAATTAGAAAATCATCTAACTATTGTTTCCTATTCTGTTTCAACAAACACAAGTTGTCTTAAGGGTAATTTGTAGAAAAAAATAAAAATCTCACTGAGGGTGTTCATAATTTTAAAATTTCACCGGGTTTGATAGAATTAACTATCTTAAGGGTTTTATATTTGTAAAAATCGTTCTTTTTTTTTTTTTACTTTTNAATTCGATCCATCTCAAGGCATCATCAGACAATCTTTGCTTTTGAGTTCAACTAACTTCTCTCTCTCTCTCTCTCTCTCTCTCATGTTTTCATAGTGGGGTTATTGCACTTCAGGTTTGGAACCTTGTTCACAGCCTAGAGCTCATATCTTCCTTGGCAACGTTTCGAATAGCACTCCAAACTTACACTTGACATGTTTCTGATCTTGTTTTATATCATTTTCTGCACAGGTTTCGATGAAGGGACCACTCTTTATCTTAAATCGATGGGGCGATTATGCGGAGTATAAACAATTTAACCGACAATGCCTAGTTTGATTTGCTATAAAAGTACACTTGTGCGGTGCCATCTTTTACATGCCAACTACCTTCCGATATCCAGGTTCGGCCAAGAACTTTATCTAGTGCTTGCTTGCCAAGGTACATAATTGGCAAGCGAACCTAGAAAAAACTAAGACATCATCGATAGTCGAGAAAAGAACGGGTCAGCTTATGTACTAGGCCCTAGCTAGATTT